CAAGTTTTATCTTATTTTATTACGTTGTTGTGACTCAATTGCGTAGAACGTCAGGTCAAGTTTGGTGGGGTGGGCCACTTACTGGGGTGGGCCGCTTACTGGTGGAACACGTTATAGCTGATGCTTACAACATCATATTTGCCAGCGCATCTGGTATAGTCTCAAATTATTGCCAAAATTGGCTAGTGTCTGCTCATATTCTCAGTCTTCATTCACGGCTGAGTTGCGGTCAGCTGACTCTCCATTGGCCAAGTAAGCGAAGAACAATCGCTATATTTATTCTCGAGCTGATGTTCTTCGCATGTGGCGTCCGTTTTCGATTGGTGGCCTGTTCTGGGCGTCGTAAGATCTTAGCGAAAGGTGGGGAAGTGCCATGGAGGCTGAGCCATCAGCTGCGCCTCTTCGGTAGGATCCGATGTTATTTGGTATGTTTGGTATACTTCAGAAGCCACCATGGTTAGCATATAGTCGTGTGCCATTTTCCAACGCAACTGCCTTGCTATGGCCGCTATAATGGGACTGGATTCGGTTTACTCTAGCAGAAAGCCGTCACGCACATCACGCACAGAATGGCATGCATCTACACCTTGTTCATGTGGAACACTGCAAACATGAGCAATGGACGAAGAAAAATTGAACGAAATAATCAGCTGCTTTGTCGAGATATCATCTCTCTTGTTATTAGTCAACAAATACACCTGGCAATGTCTCGAAGTTTGTAATTGCACTCAAGCGAGACTTGCAAAGATTACTCACTAGGGGTACAAACTCGAAGAACCGACGAAAAAGACTTCGTTTACGTTACTTCTATTGATCGCTAATCGCCTATAAGTTCTTCTGAGGAGATTTGATGATTATCCAACTTGAACTTTGACAAGTTTTCACGTGAGATAAGTATGTCTCTTCGCAGGCATACAGGCGGCAAAGCTTATTCTTGTCTCGTCAAACTACCGTTCATCATCAACAATATTCACGTGAAAATAAAATCAAGGTTTCCCGAGTATGAGTTCAACAAAGTCGACTGCCGTCTTTTTGTCCATCTAAAGTACATAGCACCAACGACCCCGCTGCATCCCCACCCCCGCCTTGCCCGCCAACCCCGCTTCATTCACACATGTACTCCAACTCCAACCGGACGAATACCCTGGCCCTTGTAGAGCAAGTCGCACCATCACGCCATGTGGTGGCAATATGTAGTACCACCACAGCATTTCAGAATTTAGCCCAGCGCTGCGCCAAGTGACCGCGTTACGGCCATCAGAGTTGTTATACCACGCTTGGCAGTTTCATCAGGGGCCTTAGTATACTTGTGCTTTCTGCTCGAGCAGACTCCAATCGGAGCTCGAGGCAAGGAAATATGCATTGACTAGGGCAGCAACGACAGCAAATAGTGAAGCGGATGGCGAGGTTCTCTCGCCATGTTCCGCGTGCTGCAGGGAAGATGACTACATACATATGGAGCTACATACATGAGCTGACTTCACTAAGTATATCCGTTCTGCCGAGTGCAAGGCCAAGAATTTGGTAGGGAAGGGAGAGGATAGAAAGTTGAGTCCAGGTAGCAGCACGTCAGTAGCCCTCGGCATCTCACCATCAACCTTTGACTAGCCTATACTACGTCAATTAAATACCGGATTGCGCAAAACACTAATGATGGGCAGATGAGTTGGAGTAAATTCTTCTTCCAGACCGAAAAAATCAAAGAATCTTCAGTGAAATCCCTGCACGACAACGTGACGGCACGGTTTCACGCGATGCAGGGCCCCAAGACGCATACACAGGCATGTTACAGTTTTCGGAAATGTACAATGTCCAAAAGTCGATGAATATCGTAGTTTCGGATGCCTTGTCTGTTGTTTGAAAAGCCGCCTTCTAATCCGAGATTAGAGTGTTTTACAAATTGGATACTGGGGATACTGTAAACGTTTCAAGATGACTTCGAAAAGAAGACTCGAAAAACATCATCGTAACAAGAAGTCCGTCCAGGGCATTCAAGATGCTGAAGAAAAGAATACTGAATGTGCACACATTTAGGCAAGACAATCAAAGTATAAACCCCCTATAAATTTCACTTCAACAAAGTCACCTATACCCTACCCTATAACATATTTACAAAAACCCCCAACCCCCAATCATATCCTCCCTCATCCCAAACCTCCCCTCACCAATTCCAAATACCCATCTACTGGGGTGGCGCAACAGGCGACGGCCTGGGCGGAATCGATGCTACCCAAGAAATCAGCCTACTACTCTATCCCTTGCTCAACCTTTAACAAAAGAAAAGATAAAAACTTACGAAAAGCAGGGGGCGCGCCCGTAGGTCTCGGCGGAGCCCCACCAGTAGGGAATCCAGGAAAGCCGCCTGGCGGGAATGAAGGTACACCGCCGCCGGGGAAGCCGCCAGTCGGGCGAGGAGGAAAGCCTGTAGGCACGGGGCCTGTAGGGCGTGGTGGGAAGCCCGTTGGGAAGGCAGGGGGAGTGCCGCCGGGGGGGCCCGAAGGGGTTGGTCGGGGCGGGAGACCGGTCGGGGGAGAGACTTGGCGTTCGATGACGGGGGCGGCGAGGGCGCTGGGTATGTTAGTGGAGGGGATTTTTAGGGCGGGAGGGGTAGAGGGGGTAGGGATGTACCTGGTGGCCAGGAAGAGGATAGTTGCGAACTTCATAGTTGAGAATCGAGACAGTAGTTGTAGTAGAAGCTAGATTGTAGTAGAGATAGCCGGAGAAGCTTGATGGTGGTGAAAGAAGATGGCACTGAGATGGTGCTCTTTATACATCTCTCATCGCGTATCGATTTTCCCAAAGGCACTCAGTGAAAGTCATGTTCTTGGGTGCCAGTCGCCCAGTGTAAAGTGCTTTCACGTCGATCTATCCAAAAGCAAGGTCTGATAGATGAAAGGCTAATATAGCAGGTGTGGTATCCAAGATGTCGTGATTAATAAATCCATCAAGCTCAGACTTGAGTAAATTGGCTTCCTTGCCGAAATCGCTGGCCGATGTGCCTTTTTGAAAGCAAATGACGTTTTGTAAATGTTCTGTTGGGGATGCTGTGCCAGGTCACTGCAATTAGACGTCAATCAATTGCAAACGTGGTCGAGGTAGGAGGCCAGATTGAGGGTCTTTGTACAACCATTATCAGAGACGAACGATGGTGGACACAGTGGAAAAGGATTGGTAACCAAGCGTTTGTTCAAGCCCCCTCGGCAGTTGCTTCTTGATTGCTATGTAGCAACTAATCCAAAAAGAAGAATGCTTCTGTGCGCGGAGAATTGACATCGAGACCACGTACCCTCAATCTAAAATTTGAAGACGTGTTGCGGCCTAGACTATTGCGACAGGCCGGTTTAGCCTTTTTTTGTTGTCCCAGGAGATGGGATAGGCCGATCGAATCTACATAGTAGTTCTTTGTGTAGCGAGGTGATATAAGGCGTGATGCATTTACATATAGTGGGTTATGAGCTCATATCAATGTACAGAGATGCGTTTTGTGTATTGCTATTCACAAGGTTCAAGTGACGCCATTGCCAAGATGAAATCAACATAAAATGCATCAGGAAAAACGACAATTTCGTCTGTCAGATGATTATCAGTCAGTTGAAGTAAGGACTAAGATGAAATTGATACTGAACTGTACCAAACTGATGTATTACACAAAATAGGCCCCAAACACATCATCCACACACCCCGCCACAACTTCTCCATCACCATTTCAAACCCCACATATCGTGCTGCCAAGCCATCGATCGCTATTTACCAAGATGCACGAATACAAGCTTGTGTCGAGCGTAAATGGAGCTCTTGTTACAATAAATTTCTATTCGTCATTTCCTGCATGAAGACTGGGGTTGATTTGCACTGTGATTGGCGAGATGATAAAAAGCCGCCAACTCTGCCGGGCCGTGCCTGCATAATAGGTTAAAAATCTCCTGTCTCTGCAATGCCGGCCAGAATTAGCGCAGCCAATACCAATGCTTGCAGGAAGTGAAACTCCGGGCTGGGGTAAAAGGTGGAGGGGTTGGCACCATCTGTTCACCTCCCTCTTCTTCCAACTCCTACTAGATAACTGTTTAGTAGTTGGTGCTCAATAGATGGGTAAGACAAAGGTTGGGAAAGGAAAATGACTCATGTGTTTCATGGGGGTGTCTTTAAAGTCAGTAATATGATCCACAAGGCAAGGATCATAGTTCAGCGGGGGAAAATGTGGAGACCAGTGGTGACCTCATGAACGCCCATAGGATATCAAGATTAAGCGTTTAGCATGAGTAGTACATATTACCACACACATACATACTATCCAGCCATTCAGGAACCACATTGAATATGTACGTTTTTATTTGCTAAAGAGATCCGTAATAAACGAAAGGACTGGTGATCATACAAGATGGCGTTCGCCTCTGCGATCGCTTCATAAACGAAGGAAATTCATTGATACAATCCAGTCTCAAACTAGAAACTTCTTAATCATAACAGCACCAATTTATGCGTCCCTACTACAAGACCTCAACCCAAAATGACCACTGACCTAGTTCCAGATTGACAGTCCAAACTCGTCATTGCAAATTGAGACTTTCGCCAAGGATTTCGTATCGCGTTGAGATGGTGGTGCTCGAGTGGCAATGAAGGGTGAATGCCATCTAGTTGCGAGCGGGAGGAGGTGGAAGGGGATCACCTTCAACCGGTGCCGGTGGTAGAGGAGCTCCCGGAACTGGTGCTGGTGGAGGAGCACCTGGAGCTGGTGCTGGCGGTAAAGGAGCACCTGGAGCTGGTGCTGGCGGTAGAGGAGCACCTGGAGCTGGTGCTGGCGGTAAAGGAGCACCTGGAGCAGGTACTGGTGGTGGTGGTGGAGGACCACCACCGACTGCTCCTCCTCCTCGGGCGCCTCCTCTTCCTCCTCGACCTCCACGACCTCCGCGACCACCACCTCGGCCACCTCGGCCACCACCTGGAGGTGGTGGAGGAGGGGGAACTTCACCACCCGGTGGAGGTGGAGGTGGAATGGGAACGCCAGTGGGTGGTGGTGGAGGAGGAGCACCAGCGTCTGGTGGTGGTGGAGGAATGCTACCATCAGGTGGTGGAGGAGCACTTTGGCGCTCAACAATCAGAGGTGCGGCGAGGGCACTGTTTCTGTGTTAGCTATTGAATCAAGAGTCGGTTTTCAGGAAGGTATATTAGAATGAATAGTGAAAAGAAATGGGGGTGATGTACCCAGCGGCCATGAGAATCAAAAAGGTAGACCTCATGATTGATAGCAATACAAATGATTGTTATTTGGTAGTCAAAGGATTGATTGAAGAAGTGAATTGTTGTTCACTGATGGTAATGGCCTTCCCAGAAGTGCTGAAGCCATGTGCCTTTATACTTGAATTTCTCCATACTCTCCGCGATCGTCTGTCATCAATCTTCATGTTTAGTTGCATACGTGTACCTGGATGATCGCTGTCATTAGGGCGGAGTTCCCTACCCCGCGCCTCCCGTACACGGCTTGAGCTGTGTAGTGAATGAGTACATGGCATCTGTGACGCCTTGGCCAAAGCCAAGAAATGAGCGACCGGTAATACCCAGATTCCGGAGATACGTTCCCCTTGCTGGGCCGTGAGGCCAAGACTTGGGCAGCGGAATGATTACGTTGGGATATGCTGCGGCAGGTGACACGTCTTGTCACCAATGAAGTCGATTGGATGGGTTCTCTTCGACGTGCATGCCCTGCGGCCGGAGTTCTGGACTTGTACCAAAGAGCTGGGTCGGAGAGCCAGGTCTACAAGATGAAACGCACCCTACAAGCCGCCCAATAGCAATGACGGTTGCACATTATAGAGTAGGCATTCAGACTCTTTTTTGATGTCATATCCGGCAGGGGTCATGTCTGATTGGCTCTCGGACCATTGAGGCCCGGCCTAGTCTGGCTGTCAGGGTATAACCCACGTTAGCCAAGTAGCCGATTAAATCCGGCCAGGTTTGACCAACAGGATAGTTGGTAGTTGGACAGGCGGGAAGTAAGACCTTTGCATTTAAAGTTTTCTCAAGCCTCATTCGCCAGGAATCCGTTTCTTTTTGCACTAGAAGCCCGTGTCACAAGAAGCCTATGTGCCGGCATCAGAAACGCAGCTGTTGTGAAACCCATTTGAGATTTAGCCTCAGACATTTGCGAGATTACAATCTCACTAGAAGCATAGCTAAATACTAACATAGTAGGAATCTGCAAAGAGTGAGTCTGTGGCATTACATTTTAAGAGACGTAAGACAGCGGGTTGGGAATGCGGCATTGCTGTGGTCATGTGCTTGGCATGCAGGCCCAAGGAATAGTGGGCATTGCCTTAATGTCAAGCAACAGGTCAAGCTTCGTCATAGGCGAAAGGATCAGCCTTGTTATCTTTGCTTTGTGCGAAGATCAACAAGTTTACACTCCCATTGTACTAGCACAAACGCATCATCCCAAGCCGCCGAAAACTTGCACAAGACCGAACATGTCGAGAATATATGAGGCGACCTTGACGTGATGCATATACATAGGGTAACTAACACGGCAAAGTCCGCAGAGATCCGTACTATCGTTTGCCGACTACAAAAAGTGGCAAAAAGGGCCGGCCGGATGGAGCAAATGCCGAAGATCGGCAGGTTTATATGCCCACTTGATCAGGCCGAGTGTTGGAGGCACCAGTTGGAGGCATTGGTTGTGGGGAGAGGAATGCCTGGCAATTGTCATTGGATTAAAGAATTAGCAAGGCTACATGCGTAGATCATGGTTAGCACTGGAAATGCTTCGTGGCATGCATAGCCGCACCTTGAAAGCTTTGTACAGTATACAGACGTAGTCTCCATCAGCTCTTGATGAAGCTTGGTAGTGTTAATTTTAGCACACGTCCTTAGCCACAGACGTCTCGTATAGTACGCAGATCAGTCGTCGTCTTCAATGACCAAGCCAATCTCTTCCATATTTTTGACCTCAGCCCCTTCATTACGTGTGTCCGCATCATCGTCGGCGCTATTCTTGGGTACGTTTGCATTCGGGGCCAGCTTCTTCTTTGCTTGCTCCGCACCAGTTGTACTGTCCTTGGCGTCGCCATCTCCGCCCTTGCCGCCTTTCTTTGCCTTTTCTTTCCGTTGCCTTGCCTTTTCCCGCTTTAGCCTGTTCTTCTCCGTCTTTTCCTTGTCCTTCTTCTCCAACTCTTCTTTCCGCTTAGCAAACTCCTTCTCGTCTTCCTCCTTCTTCACCTCTTCGTCCATAGCGCGCAGTCTCTCATACTCGCGCCGCCGGCTCGCTTTGTAGACATGAAACTCGCCACTACCCGCACCGGCGCTTGAACCTTGAACATTTGCGACAATTTCTGGGGGCAGAGAGGAAGTCTTGGCAATTGCGCCGGAGCCTGGGATGTGGATTTCGCGGTCAGGCTTTGCAAAGAGGGCTTCGACCTGGGAGGCTTGCTCTGTACGTGGAGTGAGGGCGCGTTTCTTCACTGGGCGTTTCGAGCGCGGGTCGGCGGATGTGGGTATAGCCTCTGGGATAGGCTCGGACATGGTGTTTGCAGGTGAGGATTAATATGCCTGGCGCAGGCGGCGTTGCGTAGAAATCAGAGCACCAGAAAATACACACGTGGCCGATAGCCTTACGCGACTGCGGAGGGATGAAATGCAAAGATGTGATGGGTGGTTTAGGCAAAGCGCAGAGAGAGGCAGTGTCGTGGAAATATTATCAAACATTGATGCGAGTCGGGATGGCGCGCTAGGTGCCTGGCTACGGCGCGCTAGAAGTGCCACATGCGCCTGCGAAGTCGCCGCCATTCTTGGGCTTGCAGCACCACATGAAACACGCAATATCGCATATTTCTCTGCCCCTCTACACAGGATCTGTTCTTGCCTGAAGCATATACAGGCTGAACATTTTCCGCTACACGCCCATCATTCCCAGAACCTACAAGTGCTGACACCCGAGCATCCCACGCCAATATGGGGAAACCCCGCGTAGGTCCACTTTACCACCACGACCGCCCTCAGTGCCTGACCCTTCCGTAGATGATCATTCTGATTCGCCATGCGCAATCAGAGGGAAACAAGAACCGTGATATCCACCAGTTCATACCCGACCACAGGGTCAAACTGACCCAGCATGGCTGGACTCAGGTACGCTGTCTTTATCGCATGGCTTGAGACACTTCACGACTGACTCTAGCCCGCCATAGGCAGAAGAAGCTGGACGTCAGCTCCGCTCTATGCTCAAGCCAGACGACACCCTCCAGTTCTACACCTCGCCCTACCGCCGGACCCGTGAGACTACAGAGGGCATCCTCCGCACCCTGACCTCGGACGACCCCACCCCCTCGCCCTTCCCCCGCAACAAGATTACCGTCTTCGAGGAGCCAAGGATACGAGAACAAGATTTTGGAAACTTCCAGCCATGTTCGGCAGAAATGGAGCGCATGTGGCAGGAGAGGGCTGATTATGGCCATTTCTTCTACCGCATACCCGACGGTGAGAGTGCAGCAGATGCCTATGACCGTGTCAGTGGCTTTAACGAAAGCCTGTGGAGATCATTTGGAGACGATAATTTCCCCAGCGTTTGCGTGTTGGTTACGCATGGACTGATGTCCAGGGTATTCCTCATGAAATGGTGAGTGCCCAACCTACGCAGTACAAAGAGGGAAACATACTGACTTGCTGCAGGTATCACTGGTCTGTCGAGTACTTTGAGGACCTCCGGAATGTAAACCACTGCGAGTTTATTATTATGAAGAGAAGCGAGAACAACGGCCGATATATCCTCCAGAACGAGCTGCGAACATGGTCTGAACTCAAACGCCGGGCTGCCAAAGAGAAAGAGGAACAACCAAAGAGCGCCACGGCTGCCACACCAAGCAGAAACACGTCGTTGAGTAATCTCAACCAGGCTGGGTCTACCTCGTCTCCTACTGTGCCCATTCGACGCTGGGGAGGATGTGTAAATGGATGCAACCATGACAAAATCAATTACCCTCGTCGTCCAATGCGAAAGAACACGATGGAGTATCTTGGGCAAGGTTCTCAGCAGACTGCTTCGCCTGCCACACAACATATGGAGCCATTAGAGAGCGAGCAAGAAGACCACCCAGTTGCAGCCCAAGAAGCTGATCACGCTCCCATTATCAATGAGCCATCGCTAGCCAAGCTGTTGCGAAAGCAAACCGCCAAAGGTACAGCCATTCCCGCCATGCCGCCAACGCCCGCATCACCAAACGATGCCTCGAACGATGCTTCCAGTAGCGAAGAGGGGGACAACGCACATTTGGCGTCAAGGTCCAACAATCACGCACAACCGCGAACTACCGCTATTCTACGTCATCTACAGCCCATGCAGGCCGGTGAAGGCTTCTCGGACGACTCCGACTACTTCCCTGGTATGCAGCACCTCCACCACAGCACTGGGCAACGCAAATTCCTCCGCGCCAGCTCTACGCAACGCAAGCAGTCCAAGGATCGCAAGATCCAGCGCAAGCAAACCGAACAAGGTTGGCTCGAAGAATCAGGCATGGGCAAAGACGTCAAAACAGACAGACTGGGTGACGGCGATGCTACAAGCGACGATGCCGCATTCGCCAAAAAGAAAGACGAAGAGCCACCCATCTTGAGGGAAGCTCTGAAGGGAAACATGATTGTCGAACACAGTGAAGAGGAGAGAGAAGCGGCAGCAGCAACAAATGGTACGCAGGCTGATTCCGCCGACAAGAAAGTTACAGAGAAGGACATCGACAAGATGCAGGATGCAGAGAGAAAAGGTCTCGATGAAGTATATTAAATTTAGCCGCAAGCGCCGTACCCGCCCCCCTAGACTCCTCTGTACCTTGTGTTGTTTTTTTTTGGTTTTGCAACCTGGATTACGTACTTTATTCCCCTTCGCCCGCATAGACCCTGCTTGACTCCTGAAATGAAACAATGAAGACCGTGTACACCAATACCTGTTTTTGAAAACCAAACCCATTGAGTCCCCCTTTTGGTACTGTTGTGTGAATGATGATGGTTTTGCTTCTGTCATTCTGCCCTGTTGTACACATTTTTTCCCTTCGTTCTTACCAATCTCCGTGTACCCTGTCTGTAGGGGGTGTGATGTCCCCCATGAAGAACGAGTGTTCTTCACTTCTTTCCTTCTTCTTTCCTTCACTTCTGATTGTCCTGTACCTATCCTCCTCAAGCTTCCTTCTTCTTCTTGACTTTGCGACTCGGCATGTTGACATTGACCCTAGCCATCGTGGTGATGAGGCAGATATGCCATCTTGACTTGACACACGGCTTTTGGGCAAGTTGAGAAAATTGGGTCATGCCGAGATAAGAAGGAGGTAGTTTAATCCCATGTTGCAGAAGCAGAAGCAGCAGCAAGAAGGGTATCTTCTTTGGCTGCAACTATGCCCGATGCGTGCTGTTCAATGATGTGCGTACGTACGAGCTTCCTCCAGCTCACGAAGTGCCAGAGCGAACAGACTCTGTCTTAGTTGCTCTGGCTCACTCTCGTGATTTACCTGCGTGTACAAGAGAAGCCTCAAGCACAGCCGAGATTTATGTTTCGTTTTCGCATCATTATCTCGATGCCACGTGGACCATATACACCTTCATCCTTGTCCATCTCGACCCACAGGTCTTCGAGAAAAGCCCATGTTGGTTTTACCCTTGGCTTGTTCTCTGGGGCAGTGTTCATTTGTGCTCTCATCATCTCGCGGTGTCGAGTTTTGCGGCAAACCTACAAGGGGGAAAACTGGTTAGCACGCGCGTATCTACCACATCGATAATTTGGGAACTTACCGAACCTACGATACGCGCACCCCAGTTCATGGTCGAGTGGACGCGCGATTTAGGCGAAAATTTGGACGCAATTTCGATCATTTGGTCGAGGATATCGTCCACTGTTTGCATAAGGGAAGCAGTAGGCCTCTCGTTGCCGTGGAACATTGTGTGAAGGAAGATCAACAGGACTTGCTGTTGGATTTGACCAGCTATCCGCTCGTCGGGATCGTCTTTGATCAACAACGAGGGACTGGGCTTCCAGGCTTTGATCAATCTTTCGAAGTGGCGCTTGTCTTCGGCTTTCCTAACAGGATCTGGCTCACGCACATGTTGCCGTGCCGACTCTGCTATGGGCATGATGAGACCAAGCAACTCATGGCACGACCCCAATAGTACTCCATGTGATTCGGTGCCCCAGTTGAGTGAATTAAGCGCTTCTGGTGACAAGAAGTCATCATATGGAATGTGGCGACTAACGGCAAAATCCGTATTGAGAGTCAGGTTCGAGTTGATGGCCAAGAAGGCATAGATTTCTGTGAGAAATTCCAGTAATGGCCCGTGGCTACTGTGACGACCTCTAAGCTCGAGTAACACAGTGCGGCTAGCACGGAGGTGGTGGTAGACACTGCCATTCATTTCACTGGATAGGCTCTATTGTAATCGTTAGCGTAAGTTGTTTCTTACAAAAACGCCTCATCGGTTTAAAAAGCCGAAAGAAGGATAAACTAAAGACAAAGAGAAATTAGAGACCCACCTCAAACCAACACATAGCCAACATGACGATGAGAAGGCTAATGAGGTTCTGAGTGCTAGACTCCTTCCAGTCGAGGAGCCCATGCTTGACGCTGCGTAGTGTCACTGCGTAGTAGGATCGTGCATCATGCTCGAACCGATCACCCTTGTAGCCACGCAGATGGGCTCCACTCAATGCTAACAAACACCCGACAACTCGCGTATCCTGGTACGCCACGGGCAAAAGATAGCTTACAAAAGGGTTGATGGGTACTATGCGGCCGGCTATTTCCGTAGCCGTTACCTTGATGTAATGATCGAAGATGTGCTTTTCGCTCTCGTTTCGCAGCCCAGGCATGCCATTTCCGAGGGCTGGATATACATCAGTGCAAGGTAGGGGAAGCAAATACCGCATTTGTTTTTTGTCTGGTGTAACGACTTGCTGTGTGGTCGTGCCGCTGCCGTTGCCGCCGCCACCGCGTGCTCCCTTGCTCAATCCTACGACAGGACGACGAGGCGGGGCCGCCTCGCGCGGCACGCTATCTGACGTGTTTGCTGATTTGGTGTTCTGAGTGGCAGATGATGGCCAGGTGCAGATGAGATGGTTGCGCTGACAGCCAAAGCACGTGGGATGCTGTTCGTCGCACTTCTTGCGGCGAGCTCGGCATGTGAGGCAACCTGTCTTGGACTTGAGGCGCAGCGATCCATAGGCCGGCGGCGGTGACATGGTTCAATTGAGAAGGACAAATGATTGCGTCGGGCTATGTATCTGCGAGACACCCACATAAAATGATGGGCCAAACGATCACTGGGCATGCAAGAGGCAAGGTCCTGGCCCCCCTGGAACCGGGCGTAGGCTTGGATTACCACACGTGACCTTATCGGGAGCGCGCTTATCTTAGCGCGTCGTGGCGCTTGGGCGGCTTTCCTCAACGAGCATACTGTGTAGCAATGTATACGAGCAGATACCTCTACGGGGCCTATTAACGTCTCGATTCCTTACACTGTTGACGGACCGAATCCTTCTAAACCCTCCACTTTCATTACAACAAGTACCATACTCGTACTCCGCGGGAATGCTCCAGAACCTCGAGGCAGACCTTCCACTTCTAGACAAGCGCGTCAGTTCTCATATTAAGATGACAACCTTCCCCATCGAGTATCTTACTTTCCGCTCGCTGCACGATGGTTCAGATCGTCAGTAACTACACAAAGTATAAGGAAGGCAGGTCCGAACCAACATGGTGGGCAATGCCACACTCTTCCTGACCTGCCTTCGTTTCAAAAGAAGAGCAAAAAAAGAACTTATGACCTAACCAGGGGTCGCTATCTCAATGTTAGTAGTCTGATTCGAATAGAACCGAACTGAGCGGGTCCAACTTGCAACCTGGAATCTCTTGATATCGAACTCAATCGTAGTCAAGCGCCTTGCCATTGGGCCATTAGGCCATCTAATCAGATGGATGGTGAGCTCGAAAATTGGACGGTATTCATCACCCAGCTATGAGAGGGAATAGAATATAAATAGGCTATAGATTATTAGGGTAAGTGTGATTGTATTTTTGAACATCGGCGGGACATGTGTATAGCGTAAAAGAATTTTGCATGTGAGGTGGGGATGGGTCGGAGTGGTTCGGCGACTTGGAGGTATAGCATGATGTTGAATGGACGACCATTTGGGGAATCGGATTTTACCAGTAAGTTACCAGCATGGCTATAATATTTTCATATACAAGAAGCGAAGAGTACCTAGTTCGATATACTAGTTGTAAGCTATCGGAGCGGTATGTCTTCCACTCACGAAGTGCTTAAGCCCGCGCTGCAGGCTGCTGAAGAGTGCTTCCTCCATCAGGGTAAAGTACTTGCTCGTTGTAAAAAACACCTCCAGGTCCAGCAAGCATGAGTACGGTCGCAGCCATATCAGTGTCGGCTCCCGGGCGGCCGGCAGGATTCGACATCTCTGAATCCATGCGGCTCTTGTTGTCTTCGTCAGATGAGCCGGTTGTCATCTTTTGTAAGTTGTTAGTACACGGATATGATTTGAGAAAACAAATACAAGGGAGGAGGTGATGTAAATGATATAGTTTTGCTTACCTCACTAGGGAAAACACCGGGTGCGATGGTGTTGACGCGGACCTTGGTGCCCATGAAAGTCGTTGCAAGCATTCTGCTGAGGTGTGTAGCCGCTGCCTTGCTGGAAGCATAGGCAAATTGACCACTGCTGCTACCCTTCATGTACCCTGAGATACTGCTAACGTTGATGACTTGTGAACTATATCCGGGGGTGACACTGCCACCCTTGGCAAGTAGAGGAAGGAAAGTCATGCTCATCCAGTAGATACTTCCGACATTGGTCTTCATAGTGTCAGCCCATTGCTCAGGCTGCGACTTGAGGAAGTGGTCGGAGATGGCTTGGGCGTCTTCCATGTTGGGTTGGCCATTTGAGGAGAATTTTGTGTTCTCGTCGCGCGCAATTCCTGCGTTGTTGATGAGAAGTTGGATTCCCTTGGGTTCCTTTTGGCACATTTCGTCGTATAGGCGCTTCACATCATCTTTTTCACTGTAAAAATGTCAACTCTGGCGTACGGCTTGATCAGTGTGATTTGAGATACTCACCTGACGTCGGCCTGAATAGGAATGATCTGTCCTGGCCCGGTGTTGTACACTTCGTCTGTTTTCTTCAGGACCTCATCACGCCTTGATGTGATGTAGACCTTTGCACCGTTGGCGACCAGCGCCTGTGTGATCATCAATCCGATTCCTGTTCCTCCTCCAGTAACAAGAGCAGTGACGTGTGACACATCGAAGAGCTTAGAGCCCTTTAGATCCTCGTTGCTTGCTTTTCCCATATTTCTGACTATTTGGTAGGAGGTCCTTGGGATTAATTGCTTTGTGCGTGACAGTGGTGTAATTGATCTGGTAGCTGTTGGTACAGTTTTTGAAAAGAGTCGGAGCATTTTGAGGTGTGGTTGTAATGGGTTCTCTCTTTATGTGATATGAAAGTGGATGGACGATGTCACAGTTTGCATGCCAACATGATGACGTTGAGACGACGCATGGTCCAATGCATTAGGGCACTGGCAGGCCGGCAGGACGGCAAGCCTCCATACTATGCGCTCACATTTCTTTCAAACGATAATTCCAATTCAAGCAAAACTATGCCTATCAATGTCCACCATATTTGTTATGTCGATCAGTCAACTTATTCCGAAATTGAGTGGGTATAGCTGGTGATGCATTTTCGGGAATTCCTTTAGTGTCAAGGGTACATACCAAACAAACAAGCTTCAATTAAGAAGGAGTTAACTTCATTATTCTTATATACACTGGTTACTTGCCGCATCGACCTAATGCAAAGTCATGGTGTTGAGGACTTGAGAATGATGACGTCACGTCTCTAGGCTACATACACCCAATTTATCTCCGGTTCGCGATCTTACTTCTCCACAAGAATCATATTAGAAACACACTCAATCTTACAAAATATTGTGTTGCCAGTCCTACAACGTATGAGTATTGCTAAAGACTCTAGGACATCACGCAATCGAGACTTTTAGTCAGCATGTTAACCTCTGATTGGACTATGGGGATTAGTAACAGCCTCGGAGATAATGCTATGGCATCATCGCCACAAAGATGCCGAATGAGGGGAAGCATGGGTGGATGAAGGGCGCGTTGTCGTTTTGTATTTCTAAACATACGGATATATATAACAGCTTTGACTGTCTCCTACTATCCAGCCGCATATCTAAAGTACCTACAATCGCAAGCATCACTCCAGCAAGCAATTGCCGACTTCAACACAGGAAGACTCGATTGTACTATCAAACATATCGCAAATCATATCGCATATCGAAGACACACCTAGTAGTATTACGACCACAAAATGACCACCACCGCCTCTCGCCCGACACCTGCGCACCAACTCTCCAATCCTGCGCCCACTTCAACCAACGCAACCTCACAGGACGTAAATTTCCAAGGCCTGCCTATCCCACGTGGCTCTGTCAAAGCACAACTCTCTTTCTACAAAGCTCCCGAAGATGGCGCACCCCCACACAACTACGTCGAGCCACTTCCAGGCGTCCCACAGCGAAATTGGGGAGACAATTGGGCCGAAGTTACTATCGAAGACCTGCGAGGCAAGGAAAAAAACTTCACCCTCGACAACAACGCCTTCGACACATTCCAGAACATCCAGAGTGGCCTGACCAGAGAAGACTTCGAAGACGATGAGGCGATAAAAAGGGTCTACTACCCCGAGGTAGAAGATCTCTTACTGAACAACGTGCAAGGCGCACAGCGAGTCCTAATCTTCGACCACACAATCCGCCGACCAACCGGCAACCGCAACCCTGTCCAGCGCGTCCACATCGACCAAACCCCCCTCTCCGCCGCCGAACGCGTCAAACTCCACGCCCCAGACGACGCCGAAAAGCTACTCCAGGGCCGCTACCGCATAATCAACGTCTGGCGCCCGCTCAACGGCCCGGTCATGGGTAGCCCGCTTGCAGTCGCCGACAGCCAGACTGTACGAGACGGCGATCTGATTCCAATTGAGCACCGGTACCCGCATCGCAACGGCCAAACGGCAGCTGTGGCGTATAACCCGGAACAAAAGTGGTATTACTGGTCTGGAATGAAGAATGAAGATAGATTGTTACTCAAGTGCTTTGATAGCGATGAGGTTGTTGGGCAGTGGGGTCGTGTGCCGCATACTGCTTTTGTGGACCCCAGAACGCCGGAGGGTGCGGTGGGGAGGGAGAGTATTGAGATTAGGGCGCTAGTTTTTGGTTGAGCGTTTTGGTAATGTTGCGAGATGTATCTGTTTTTGTTTTTGGTTCTTGCTTCCAACTCATATAGCCTTGGCGTATTGCAATTGGGGTGTGCTTTACTGTTCTGATAAATCAGCGAATGATACATGGAATTCTTTCTTTTAAATGAACTTAGCTACGTGACGTTCGTGAAATCAGCTCCTATTACCACGATTCTCCTCAGCCTCTTCCGTCTTGTCTCTTGCCTTCTTATTTTCAGGGTTTCCTTTGCCTTCAAATCATTCGGTAGCATTCAGAATAGGCACAACAGATGAAGTCATTTCACATCAAGCAAAGATGAATGTCAAATCATGTAGTATATCATTTACAGTCTAATAAGACCGTAGAGTAAATTATTCGACTATATCCATATTACTTCCAAACCAATCGTCTATACCATAAATGGAATCATCAAAGCTTGGGTATCCTACATGCCAAACTCTCTCTCTCTTTCAAAAAACAGTCGCTACGAGGTCTAACCAAAACATGAGGGAAAAAAGATACCTCCATCTATTCTTGAACCTTAAAGACCATTATCGAATCGTACTCATTACTATTATCAAACTCTAACATTGGGGCCAGAAGTTGGATCTCCTCTAGCGGTACAAATCTCTATTAGTGGGATCGCTCTTTGGCGGCGGAGCAGTGGGTTGATTGGATGCAGTATTTGCTGGCGCCTCGCCCACATTTGCAGGGGGCGCTGGAACGGGAGTAGTGGGTAGAGGGGCTTGAGGCGGCGGGCTAGGAGGAGCAGAGGGAGGAGCGTCGTGTGTAGCATTCTGTGCGGAATGAACGGGAGGAGGATGGCCTATTGCTGATACGGGAGAATGTGAGACTAGACTCCCGTCCTTTGCGGCGTCGCCGTAGAAGCCGGCTTGTTGGGGAGGCGGGTAGGCGTAGCCTTGTGGGGGCACAAAGGCGCCGTTTGGTCCCCGGACCCAGCCTGAAGGTGGAGGACCGTAGTAGTAAACTTGGCCGGGAGCAGCGGGTCCTCCAGCAGCAGGTGTTTGCGAGATCTCTGGGTGCAGTGGCTGACCTGGAGGAACAATGCCTACGGTAGTCTTGCTGAACTGGCCCAACAACTCTTCTGGGTACTTGTGTCGGAACCCCCACTTCCACCATGCCTTGAAAGCCGCACCACTGCCCATGTTCCTCCATTTCTCAGCGAGCAGCTTTTGGTCTTCTTTGCTGCGACGGTCCTGCATGCGGGTGAAGCAGAGAATCCAGAGTGAGATGAAGACCCAGCAGATAGTACCAAATCGCATGGCGCTCCTGCCCATCATGAGGCGGCGAAACCAGAACCAAGATTCGAGGAAGCCGCAGAGGAAGAAGAAAGGTATGATGACGGCAATTGCTATGATGCAGTTCCTAAGATATGACCCGCAGTAGTAGCAATCGTCGTAGTAAGAACTTGAGCCGCCGGAGCCAGAGCCGGAGCCAGTTGAAAGAGAAGGTGGTGGAGTGCTACATGAGGCAATGTAGTAATCGTAGTAGTAGTCTGTGGCGGGATTGAAAGGTGCAGCGCTGGCTGTGAGATACCATGTCTCATACTTGTAGATGACGGAGCCGTAAGAGCCAGTCGCTGTACCTGTCTCAATTGACAAGGGAGATATTTGCGCCGTCACTTTCGTGGGAATGCTGACAGAGGCAGTGGTTGTTATGGTGACTATTGGTTTAGTTAGCATATGATGTTCACACTGTGAAATAGACAGGCTGATACGTACATGGTGTAGGACATGAGGCAGGTGCAGTCATTGTGACTTGCATACTATATTTGGTGCTTGTGGTTGTCGATGTTGTTGTTGCAGTTGAGTGCCAGTCGTATGTGGTTTCAGCAACAAGATCAGACTCTGCCACAACACCAGTGGTGTAGTAAGATGCCACGATCTGAACATCAGTATCGTACCAGTCCCGAGAAGTAGTGACGAGATAGGGAGAAGCGGTAGGAATGACATCGTCCTTTATGGTGCGGGTTGACGTGTACGTATCAGTCATGACACGGGTGTAACCGTATGTATATAGACTCTCGGTGACTTGTTCTGCATAGCGAGCGGTTACAGTCCAGAAGGGTGCAGAGGAGTAACTGGAGGGGTAAATGGGATCGTAGTACGGGTCATCAGTTGTAGACTGTGCACTCGCAATAGCGGCACTGGCGAAAGCCACGAAGGTGTATCGAGCAGCCATCATGGCGCAGGATATGGAGATAAACGATTGAAGGTCGCGAAACGCGAGTATTAGATATTAGAGTGTACTGTAGTAGTGTCCTTCCAACGTCAGGGCAACGACCTCATTTTAAGCAGAGTCAGGCACACGGTACCCTTCACGACGGCTAGTTCACCGGTCGTGCAAAGGGTTCAGTCACATCTCGTTTCCCCTAAGCGATCAAGGCAGCCTCGCGCTTGGTGCAGGGTCTGCCTCCTTTCCCCCAATCACAGCGCGATCGCAATGGCGGTTGGCAAATTCTGCGGGAAGTCTAGATGGTTAGCGGAGTTGTAGTGTCTATCTTTGGGTCCTTGCGCATCATGTCAGTCTAGTGGCATGCAGGGGTGGGCAGGAGGCCTGAGGAGGATAAGGCTTGCACTGCCCGCACGTTTATTGACAGGATAGCTTTGAGCTTGGTAATGCAGCAGTACGATCCGCTCAAGGGTGTATGTGGTAGTTCATGAATACGCCTTTCTCCTTGGCAATGACGTGGTTGGTGTTGAGTGTAGTCCTACAATGTTACGGAAGGGTGTTGCCGGGACCTCGTTATGGTGGCGTTTTTGTGAAGAGACACGCGACATTGCAACGTCTTGGCGGCACTTGAAATTTCATCTCTGCCATTTGCGCCTCGGGTCACAGTCTTTTAGGCCCTTTGGCCTTAAGACTCCCATGTGCTAAGCTTGTGAGAACAAGCACAAGCATCTGATATTCCTCTGGCCCCACGTGTTCCAGACTTAGCAGGTGGGATCTGTGGTGGTCACGTAACCGCACAAAAACATCTCTGGCCCGTTCCCGATGATAAGCGTATACATACATACCTACTACCTACTGGGAAATATCCTGTCTGGTATAATTGAGATGGGCATAGAGCGGTTTGGGCATCCGTGTTAACATTGTTCATGGAAGAGTCACAGTATGCGCGCTGACAGCATGCCTGAAAGGGCATGGTTACATCAGGTACCAACACATGCACACATACAACAATCAGTTAATGACTCCTACACGATACAATGCAAGGTAACCTCCCAGCCATCGACAGTAGGCTGCACCAAAATAGAGACGATACACCGAAAGAGATCGATATCTTGATAGTAGCATCGTAGCATATTCCATTGTGGCCATCTGTTAAGCATTCTACGACGGCAACTCCGAGACTAAGCGAATGAAATCCCCACTCGTGGTTTTATCGCATGTCGCGACGTAACTGTGTGGAAATTCCGTCGGTAGAACTTTTTTATGGCAAACAGCAACAACTATAGTGATGACTGGAAAGATGACGCAAAGTAGAGTTACTCATAAAAGCACTGAAAAGTGCTTAGTTAGACGTCGGTCAAAGCCGAACCAATGGTGATAAAGCGTTTTTAAGGCGTCCAACATCTGGTGTTGCACTCTATTCTCATCGCCGTTGTAAATTGGTGTTGACACGAGGGCTACAGAGACCTTCAATCCCACCACCCTTTTGCACATTACCTTCGGTGTTATTGTGAAGTTGAAGAGAGTTTGTTCGAGGACACGGGAGCTTACAAATTTGGAAAGTTATCCTAAGAACTATTGAGTAGCCACTGTGCTATAGGGCTTGCCAAATCTGTAGACCAGTCGTCCTAGTTACACTTCACGTCGCCCGCCTTATCGGCTATTCCATAGTAGATAGTTACAGCTTGCAAAGAAGGATCACGATTGAAGAGAGACAATATATGTACAAGCATCTGATACGCATGCATTTAGACTTCAGCTACGATGGGTTAGCGTCACTGACCCCGCCCCGCCTGGTGCTACCTTGACGTGTCCAGCCTCACAGCCCCTTGCCACCTATTCTATACCTCAACAACGCTCGGAAGACTTCATGCGTAGCCTCTTCATCCAATCATGGGCTCCAAATCTCCAGAAGAACATCAGCAAGGCCACAATGGTGAGTGTATACCAAGCCTGATTATACTTATACAACATTCTGACAACCTTGCCTAGGGTCGTCCGGAGACGCCGCAATTGCTGTGGTTAACCCGCCTAAATCAGCCGTCGCGAGCGGCTTGCTTCAAGGCATGCTCGAAGGGCAGGGAGAAGACGATGAAGACGACGACGATGAGAAGAATAGAGCTGACGTGAAGACAACGGATGGTAAACTAACTGCATTTGGCTGAAATACAGATGTTGACCTATCTAGGCGCCAAGAAAAAGAGGAAGCGCAACAACAAGAAAAACAACAAGAAGGGGCCAGCTACACAACAGTCATTCCCGCCTAGGGTCCCTCTATCAGATCTATTCGATGGCCGTCCTTACCCGGAAGGTCAGATTGTCGACTATGCCCCGAAGGATGACAACCTCCAACGTACCACGACCGAAGAGCTTCGGCATGAAGCTGCCATGAGTAACATGGACGGAGACTTTCTCAAGGACTACCGCAAGGCTGCTGAGATACACCGTCAAGTCAGGCACTATGCACAAAAGCTGGCCAAGCCAGGTGTGTCCATGACTTACCTTGCCGAAGAGATTGACGAAAGTGTCCGTGCACTGACTGGTCACCATGGTCTTGAGCCTGGCGATAGTCTCAAAGCTGGGCTGGCATTTCCGACGGGACTTTGCCTGAACCATATAGGAGCCCACTGGACGCCAAATTCAGGCGCCAAAGAAGTCTTCCTTCAGCATGATGATGTCTTGAAGGTTGACTTCGGAGTCCATGTCAATGGCAGAATTGTCGATAGTGCATTCACTGTAGCTGCTAACCCAGTCTACAACAACCTGCTAGCAGCTGTAAAAGCGGCCACCAACACCGGGCTGAAGGTAAGTAACAATTCACTTATCACACATATCCTGAATCTCTGTCTAATACATCGATCTACAGGAAGCAGGCATCGATGCCCGAATCGACCACATAAGTGAATCCATCCAAGAAGTAATGGAAAGTTACGAAGTCGACATCAACGGCAAAACAATCCCCATCAAAGCTGTCCGCAACATCACCGGCCACAACATCCTCCGCTACCGTATCCACGGCGACAAGCAAGTCCCCTTCATCAAGACCAAAACCAACCAACGCATGGAAGAAGGCGACATCTTCGCCATCGAAACGTTTGGTAGCACAGGGAAAGCCTATCTACGAGATGACGTCGGCGTCTACGGCTACGGACGCAGTCAGCACGCCAACACGGCTGGCCTGCACCATGCATCAGCGAAATCGCTTCTCAAGACCATTGACGAAAACTTTGGCACACTGGTTTTTGCCCGCCGTCAGCTCGAACGTATCCCCGGGGTTAAGAGTTACCATCTTGGCATGCGATCGCTTGTTAATAGTGGTATTGTGGAGGCGTATGCCCCACTTGTTGATATTCCCGGATCGTATATTGCGCAGTTTGAACATGTGAGTTGAAAAATGTTTGTGCTATCAGTTGAGATGTATGGTTTTGCTGACATGATTACGTCCTTGATTTAGACGGTTCTACTGCGTCCTACGTGCAAGGAAGTCGTTTCTCGTGGAGACGATTACTAAAGCGGGGATTTTGGGGATGAAGACGGTAAAAATCAGACTCGACTAATTGGCGTCTGTAAGAAGTTGCAGACAACCAGTGTGAGTTAGATGTTTGTCCTCCATGCTGAGAGTAGCTCAGTGCCATTCGTTATTGTAGGGTCTGTGATACCTCGGTTTCAACACAAAAGGTCACAGCAATTCGGCAAAAGGACCGTTTTCAACAACGTTCCTTGAAATTTCATGTAGTTTGATAAAAACCACAAATCAAGCAGCAACACTCATTCATAGCAGTGAAATTCAAAGTAGCGCATATATATTACGAGCATACACTGCAAAACTAACTATGAAAAAGAAATGGGGGCATGAAAAGGGGGGGTCGCACAAGGATTCGGCGCTGGATATCTATCTATTGCGAATTTACGCAGCCGAATCACTCAAAGAAGGGGGGGGGGAAAGTAAGCGAGAAACAACTGGGGGGAGAAAAGAAAGACAGAAAGAAAAAGAAAGACTCCGACATGCCCAGCTTCTCCAGCAAAGACATCGAGCGACCATCCAAAAGACCCCCAAAAAACGTCCCGACCCACCCAACTTACCACGCTTTGTTGCTTTACTCACTTCCTCCCTTCCATATCAAATACATTATCATATCGTACAAACGCTAATCAAAGCGTAGAAAAAAAAAGTAGAACAAAATGTGAAAAACGTGAGAGAAAAAAGGACTACTTGCATCACCTAATCTCGTGTATACCATCAAAATCCATACTGTCGTCTAGCCGTACCTCGTGGTCTGCGTCCGGCACCAGGTCCGATGTCGATGCTCTGAAGCTCAAGGCTGAGCGCCATGTCTTCGTTCTGAGAGCCATAGGCGGCGCCACCCATGTCGAGGGGCACCTTGGCGGGAATAGGGGGTGCAGTGATGCTGTGGCGCTGGGTGCCATGGCGGTCATAGCCAAGGCTACCATAGGTATTGGGGTTCTCGCGCTCACGGAGGGCTTGCCTGTCCGGCAGGTTGTATTGGTGAGATGATTCGTAGGAAGAGACGGGACGGGGCTGTGGGTCACGCTTCTGCAGTCTGTTGCGTCCCATTGAGCCGGTCTGTGGAGGATGCTGGCTTGCGAGGACAAGTGCGCCGGCATTCACAGGCGAATTGTAGTCGTTGAAATCGTGTCTAGCAGGCACAAGAGCTGTGCTGTTATCAAAGTTCATGCTTGCTGCGTGACGGAGGCGTTCCCTTTCAGCGCGATCGCGTTGGTACCTCTCTTCGCGCTGCATCGCAGCCTCGAGGTCACGACTACCGTTCAGCTGCGGTCGGGTGCGAGCTGGCTTCTCCTTGATAGTGCCCTTAGGAACAGGTTCGGGAGCCCAGTTATCAACTGGTAGATGGTCGGAAGCATCAACAACCCGGCCACTGAAGGTGACAATTTGGCCCTTGTCGTTGTACTCCATGCGGCTACCTGGTCGTTCGGCCTCATCATCTGAAGGAATCGGCGACTTGGACATCCTAGGATTGTAGACGTCGAAGCTATCAGGGTTGAATGCTATCCCAGACAATCTACGCTCCCCAAAGTCTTCTCCAGCAGGCGGTGGACGAGGTGACACTGATTTGCGGGTCGGCATACTGCGTGCAGGCATCCTAGAAGAGCGATCCGCAGCTGGGTTTGGAGAGTGGCGGTCCATGTCGGGGTGGGGAGAGTAGCGATTCATATCAGGATGTGGGGAGTGATGTTCTGGGACCGGATTCGGGGAGTATCGCGGACTCACACCTGGACTCGTGGCACGGGGTTTAATAAGTGGCGTGGGATCATACACTGGAGGAGATCTCTGTCGAGGCTGCTCAGGGGGGTCGTGAGGGTAGTAATCGTTCATGTGATATGCTGAATGATGAACCAGTTCCTGTGACTGCACAGGAGCTTCAAACTGAGTGATGGCTCGATACTCGGCAGGCTCAGAATAGTGACGAAGCCTTGGCGTAGGCTCGTAGGACGGAGGTCTGTCGTATGTTGGGGCTTCAATCTCTTGTCTTGCGGGATTGAGCCCAGCGATAAGACTAGACGGCAATGCAGGAATCTCCTGCCTCACAAGCTCTTGTCGAAGGGGCTCCTGCCGCAGCGGAGAGGGTACCATTATCTCCTGAGATATCGGGCGGCTTACTGGCTGTGTTTGCGCACGGGGATGAGTGTACCTTCGTTCAGAAGGCTGACGGGGCGCATAGTCAACAGGCTCGTACGTCTGCGGCATATCATCGAAGCTGATCCGGCGAGAGTCTTCTTGAGCTCGTGGTGTGAAATTGAGCGGCGCCGGAGTATCATCTTGATACATGTCGCGACTTTCCCTGTGGGCATGAGGAAGTGTACTTGCGTTGCGGTTGTGCATAGGCGGTGGTGGCGGCATATCGTCTTCATCCTCAACCATGGGCTGCATTGCACTGCGTCTTCGATGGGTAGGGCTTTCCTCCTGCGGCGGGGGAGCTTCGATAAATCTCTGACCGTAGTACGGGTTCTGAGGGGATGCCTGGTCTTGGCCGTACTCCCGACTGCGGCTGCTCCGCAAAGGTGCGACTTGGTAAGCAGGATCCTGATACTGCTCGTGGACATGAGACGGTGCAGGCTGCTGTGGTGGCTCGGCCCTCGCAGGCGGCGCCGGTGGCGGCTGCTGCTGATGTTGCAACAGTTGCTGTTGCAAGTACTCAATCTGTTTTTGCTGGTCTTGTATCTGCTGCTCATGTGCTGTGGGCTCATAGGTGTGCTGAGTCGGGACAGCCGGAGCCGAGTGCGAGTGGACTGGCTCGGGATGTTGCTGCTGTTGATAACTACGGGGAGACCGAGCATCATCTTGTGACATTTTCCTTGGTCCTGGGTTGCGTACATGTTGTGGCAGAGGGTCGATAGGCTTCACTTCGTACGGTTTGGGTGCTGCGTACGACATGTCGAAGCTCTCTTCTCTTGGCATAGGTATCCTCTGGTTAGATGATCGCGGGTTGGGCGGTGTAGTGTACGCAGGCTGGGGGGCATGGCGTTGAGACGTGTTCTGGCTCGATGCCGACACATGATGCAGTGGGGATGAGTCTGGCACGGGCCTACGACTGGGTGGATCTGGCTGGCTTCGATGAGAAGGCGGTGTTTCGTTTAGCGGTTGCTGGTGTCGTGGTGATCCTAATTCTCGAGGACCAGCACGCATTCCCCGCAGTCCTCGGTGTTCTGGTGTCTGGAGGGGTGATGGTGTTACGCCTGTTGGATCGGTGGGCAGCGGTCGTCGCTTGACCGGAGCCATCTCTCGTGCTCCACCAACAGTCGCCTTTCCCTCGGGTCTGGTTGAACTTCGCTTCTTCTCCTGGACAGCATTCTCTGCCTTGGGACGGGTATCGTAGAAGGTGATTTCCATGCGGAGCTCGCCGGCATACTTTCCTTTGCAATTGAGGCCCAGCCACTCGTCGCTCTGTCCACCGCCAGGCGTGATGACGGATTGGAGATTTGCCCAGGCCTCGCCAATCAGTTCCGTCTTCTTGTCGTCATTGAATACCGAGACCTTGAGGCGGTTGTAGTCTGGAGAGTCGTGAACTGTGAAGCGTAGTTCTTGGTCCCTGCATACGTCAGAAGTAGGGCTTTGGGGTTAGTGTGCCATGGACTCACCATTTTGGAGTCTGACCTCCGCGTTTGTCTGTCCGAGTCTTCTTTGCCTCTTTTCCGAGACGGGCTGCACAGTACGGGTCTTGTTTTCCCATTGTGCGTTTGTTTGGCAGATTTCTGGCGCGGTCCATGATGACTACCAGGGTGCCTATTACCGGCCCGTCGACAGTCATGTCTGAAAAGATGCCGGCAGCGTGGGCGCCGCCGAAAGTGGGCGTGTGAGCCGCCTTGCTCGCCATGATGAGGCAGTTATTTTTTTGGTGTTGTTGGTGTGCCTATGTTGTGCTGGGGAAGGAGGGAAGGCGCGTCGAGCGGGATTGGAAGCAACGAGTGGTGAGGCCGCCTGGGCAGCGTAGTAGCAGTGGGACTCCGGAAGCGGACATGCGCTGCAATTGCAGGCAGAGCAGAGTAGAGTGGTGGGATGGAGGAGGGAGGAGCAAAATGAGCGGGCTGCTTTGGGCTGCGGGTGGCTACTGGTGCAAAAGCAAAAGAGCGACAGTGCAGCGGCAGAGGACGTGGGTCAAGAATGGAATGGCGACGCGTAGGGCAGTAGGGCAGAACTGCAGTTGTTCTAATCGATGTTACGCATGCTGTGGCTGGGAATGTCCAGCCTCTCTCAGCTCCGCTTCGGCTTAGCCCCGAGCGCTCCACGCCAATCACCGGGCCACCTGCTGCGCCCACCGCCCACTTTGTCATCTTCCCCGTCAGATCACTAGGGGGCGTACCTTGCAGCTCCATCAGGTTTCTTCTTTAGCCTTGTTTTGACCTGCGAACGCCCTGCCGCGCTATCGCAAATGCTCGTTTTGGCCGTCCCAAAATGCTGTGGCTGGTTCGCGCTTGTCCGTCACACCATATCAGCGCCCCTCTTCGCCCCAAGCGACCGCGAAATATAGAACGCCCGGCATATCAGGCCTCTGCACCCGGCTCCCAGCACTTCCGTTCCGGTGTATACTGCTCTCTGCCCTCGCAGTGGTACGCACTCCCTCGTATCGCATCCTGCTGCCCGTCCGTCTTACTGCTTCCTTCGCCTCACCCTTCTTGTACCCTGTGCCGTGCCATGCTTCTCACTGCATGCGGCAGGTCACGCCTACCCATGCCCTGTTGTCCGTTCCAAGTATTTGCATATCGGCGGTACTACTCTCCGCGCTGAAAAAAGGCCTTGGTTGCTTTGCTGCGGTGCAATTCTCCCAGGTCTGGCCGCGGCTCGGCCAGGCTATCTTGATTGTCGAGGCCATGGTGCGGCTGGTTTCTACGGGGACAGACTCGAATCCAGGGATACCGTTGATCTCCCGCCCGCCAATCGAGCTATGAGATCACTCCACTCGTCGGGGCGGCCTCGAATACGGTCCTAGGAGATGGCTGGTGCATGCATACATATTGTCAGAGGGCGGCTACATGCGTGCTCTTACCGAGTCGCCTATTCGTCACATGTCAAGAGTGATGTCGTCGATTGTGTACATACCATTACGCACCGCCGAAATTGCTACCGGACAATCTCAAGGCGAATTGAATGTGAATCTCTTGGCCATCTCTAAGCGCAACCCAGTCCACTGTGTTGGGCCTCATCAATTCATTGCCGCAGACGTTGCGTGTTTTTGTTTTGGCGCCCACAGATGACCAGTAATTACATAGTACTGCTTTGGCACGGAAATGGCATAGCGTGTCTGTTCCCGTGACAGCGCGTCCCCGCGTTTCGCGACTTCCCTGCACTCACTATGTACAGCCCTCGCCACACATCACGCTTTCAATCACGACACGCAACAGCCACGCATCTGTGCCATAGCAGTCAAAGCTTTGTTGTCTTCCAATGTCGCTGTCAAGATGCCGACACATACGCCCTCACCGCACCGATTCCTAGCTCCAAATCCGCATTCAGCGCAAAAGTCGACTAGACCACATTCGAGCCTACGTAATGCTACTGCAGTTCCTCCATCCGCTTCTGCAAGGACACCTACGCCTGCAGGATCAACAGAATTGCAATTCAAAAGGCTGACGCCTGCGAAACGCTTTGTCGTTGCACCGCTACAAAAGAACCCTACTGCGGAGACTGCAAAGGTCAGCGAAGCAGACGTCAAGCCAAATGATGATGCACAGTTACAGCACACGCCGCTACCAAGACCACGCAGAAAGCTCGAACGAGTGGAAAGCATAGAGGAGCCATCACAATCAAGCCAACAAGATGCCAATCAACATGTCCATGCATCTGGCGTCATATCCTCCGTCCAAGACCAGGATATGCTGTCCGACGAACTCAAGCAATACGAACAAAACGAGGAGGATGACGAAATGCTCTTTGAACCAGCGACGCGAACCAAACGGCGCCGCAGGTCGTCACCCACTTCTCCGTCCTTGCAGCCACTAGAGTCCTCAACAACGCACCGTTTTAAGGTAGCACCGCCCCGCACCCCTGCACCGTTCCCAAGCATTGCGTCCGTTGCGGCCAAACCTTCAGCACCTTCAAGTCGTCCTCATTTCATTCTCCCTGAATCACCAAATTCTCCCCCCAAGGCTTCCAGACCCCCACCGGAAATCTTCTCCCCATCCCGCAAGCATGCAAAGTACGTTCCTGGCGGTCTTGCCTCCACAGTTTCCGTCTGGATTATCGAGACGGCGAATACAGGGTTTGCAGCGCAGGAAAGGATCGGTGGAGTTTTGGGACGCGACAAGGACGACGGTGTCAGGGTGCGGGTGAAGATAAGTTGCTTATCCAGAGGCGCAGCGAGTGAACATGACATGCAGGAACTGGAATGCCATGCTGGTGGTGTTGTGTTTGCGAGGGGCCAAACAGAGCCAGGCATATATGATTCCTCGGCAGTATCCAGTATATCTGGCCAAGATACCAACACGAACATTCTCCTTGCTGGTCAGGGCAGTGTGAGAGGCTCTGGAGGTGTTAAAGTCAATACTGGAAGCATGATTGGTGTACGAGCACCCACGTGGGAGATTGATGTTGGCCACGAGAAGTGGTTGGTCGCTGTTGATTGGGTGGTGCTGTAAGTATGGCACCCAATCAGACAATACCTATAAGGATATGAGTGATGATTTACGAGCATGAAGGGATTTAAATTTAGTAACAATCTACTAATGAATGCGTTTTTAAAACTAATCATCACCTATCTTGCTTCACTATAAGTGTGGCTGAGAGGAGAATGTCTAATACCGTAAATGAACACAGTCCTCTCCTATCATACCGCAAGCATTTGCAATTCTACTTAAAGCGAGATTAACAGATCTTGCTTGAGTCATGGATTTAACCTACGTCCGCCAATGGCGTTCGAGGGCTTCACAATGCTTGATCGCTCACGATACAAACAATAACTATAGTTTTTATAAGGCAGTAGTATAACGATATATTATTAAAATAAGGATACGAAGTAGAGCATAACGCTCTAGTATATACAAGTGCGCTATGTTCTGCCTCCTTTCTATCTCTTTACTCATATATTTATTCTTATCCTATTCTTTAGCATCCTATCCCTAAAATATTTCTCTTCTCTTCTCTTTAGTTATTACTAATATCCCCCTCCCCTCCCCTTCTCCCGTTTCTTAACTCAATGCATTACACTAAGTACTAATCGATGTCGGCATCTTTCGAGATACGGTCATAGCATTCTATGCCTGCCCACCCAAATATATCCTAAAGGGCATGTAGTTGGAAGAATATATACAAATCCCCCACCCAAGTATTTCTAAGTCTGTAACAATCCATCATCCACTTCATATAGACAATCGCTAGCTACCACCCTTCCCCTAATAAGGAGTTAAGCTAAATTTATATCTACAGTGGCGTTCGGACGCTTAGGCTAAGACTCTAAATGAGAGCCTGAACGTTTCTTTGGAGAAGAACACGCCGAATTCTGGTCAGCAACATTAGCAGCTCAAAAGCCGGACTGGATGTTATCCTTAGTCATCGCCTTCGCGGATTTGGAGTGAGTGATCGGAATGGAGGTGCCGCTACTAGCCCAAGAACTGGCCATGGTACCGACAAGAGAGACTGAGTCTGAACTTGAGCTCGAAAGATCACTTCCAGAGGACTCAAAACTCGATGCATTTTCGAAAAACTCAGCATACCCCTTATTCCATGTGTCGGAGTTGTTTGAGTGGCTTTTGGATTCGCCGCTTCAGGAGAGGAAGTGCAAGAGCGCAAGAGCTTGACAAAAGATATTGCGACAGCAACAAGATCAAGAGAAACGACACTTCTAGACAACACAAAGACGTAGGAACATACTAGAAGCCATCTCACATTCACAATCAATATACTACAAAGTCCTCTAGAAACTGCTTCTAGATAGGCCAAGATTGGCAACTTGCTCCACAACATCGGCTTACGAGAACGAGTCTAGACAAATTCAAATCATGATGATGATCTTTACGCTGATGGAACGCACGACGCAATCACACTTCAACAAGACAACGCAAATCAAAATATTCCTACCATCACCCTCGCTCCTCCTTCAGACTCCCCCAATCATAGATATTACTACTTAGGCAACATTGGGCGCCAAGACTTGGATTTGCTCGGATGTGCACCCTGTACTGAGGTGCAGGCCGAGGAAGAACCATGAGGGGTACAGAGGCAAGTGCTTACGCTGCAGGAAAGCTGGACAGAAGAATAAGGTATGGATGGACAAGATGGGCATTATCCCATTTGCGGCGGAGAAGAAGGGAGGGGAAAGGAGGCTTGAAGTGGATATATTGACCAATAGGATGAATATAGCCGAAGAGACCAGATTGGGAGAGAAAGAACAAAAGGATGAGGATGACTATACAACACGGTAGGGATGGTATCACTGCAGGCTAGTATGGCAACGTGGTCTCAACTTGTGCGTAGGTTTTTTTTTCGGGCAGCACAGGCGCCTGTAGATAGTGATTAAAGTTTACAATAGGTCGTCTTGGTTTCCTTTTTTGATAATCGTTGCACCAATTGATCATGTTGAGTTCTAAGGCTTACTGCTAGCACACTTGGCGCATGTTGACAGATAAGGACATCACGTGACGGATGCTCATATTTGCCCCCCACTCTTTGGACGACATGCAGTACTCTACCGTAAAGATGACAATCCCTCGCTTACACAGCACATGTCGCCTCCCAATTTATCCCTATGGTCGCACGAAGCATTGAGCTGCGAACACGTACAGGCATCAGATTCGCCCGCGGCATTGGCATCTTCTCGCTCACTCTATATTTCTCCTCTTTTTGCAACCTCGATAGCCGCTGGATAATCGCGCAAGCGATGACGCCATGCATGTCAATACTGCTCACGGCAGGAGTAGATTAGAGGGGTCTAGGGGAGACTGGCCATTGCATCACGATCCAGACGTCTAGAGCTTGGGCGGCATCAATGGGCACGCAAAGATGCCCAGTCGACTGCAGTTCAACTGCTTCGCTGTAAGTACACAGCAGTACGTAGAGTACACGGCCAGGGGCTTCGAGGGTGGGTCACATGGTCGTCTTGCTCCTCTCATCGTCCCACGTCGCAGAGAAGGCCATGGAAGTCAGAGACGGTCGGGTCGGCTCGACCTAATCGGCGGCTTAGTGGCGCACTCCCTGCTCCCCGGCCCCTCGCCACGTCACTCAACCTCATCTACCCTCTCATTTTTGCTATTGTCGCCAGGTCTCTTCACGCCGCCCCCTGCATCGGCATGCATTTTGGTTCGTCGGCAGACGAGGCTTTCGTACGGGGTGCACCTTGTTGACTGACGTTATCCCGCGCGCCCATGCTTTCCGGTGGCCGTGATTCTGGCCGCTCCAGAGTGACTACCAACGCTACATCGCGCTTCATCGCTCGCGACACATGCTGCACCTAGAACCCTACATCGGGCCAATGGCGGAATCACTGCGGATGCCCGAGCCCACCCTCCGGTCTCCCAATCTTTTCTCTCTGAACGAACGGTCATTCCCTACGTGGCCCAATGAGACCTACAGGCCAAGCTCGCCATCCCTCAGTGAGGCCTGCGGGAGCAGTCGGGAGTACCGCCCAAGGCTTGCCGAACTATTGTACGCACACTGCGCGAGATTTCTTCTTGCGATCTCTCGCGCATCGTGTCTTGTGACAGCTGTCCTGCAATTCTCCTCCGCCTGGTCGAGGTGTACCGTCGCAGCTTTGGCCCATTGAAGCCACGCACATAGCTCATCCACCACCCGCACTTCCCCTAGACTGACACCATCTCTTATTCGCCTCTCCGCACTCAATCTTTGCGCCCCACGTTGTGTGTGCCCATTGCATATCCCTTTGTTGATTATTGCCTGCAATGGAACGACGGAAACGTCAGATATACTAGCACGTAGCACCACTTGTCATATCTTCGGACCTCAAAACCACCATCACCTTGTGTCTCTCTGTCTGACCCATCATGCGTCAATTCCAGCAGGTCTCCATTTCAAAATGGGAGGACCCCTACGGTAACTCTGCACCAAACACAGTGCAGAACATATACGGCACACCAAGTCCACCACCACAACCACAGGGCTATTACGCCACAGCAAACATACCTCAACCGCATAGCTATTATGCCGCACAAAGTGCACCACCACCACCGATAATTCTTCGCCGTGTAGTGCCATCACCCCCTACATTGTCTTATTCGATTGGTAGCCAAGGGGCAGGTGAGGAGAACAAGAACAATAATAATCAGCAGAACCAATTGACAACCATAGATGCAGGAGACTCCCCAGCTGCACCACTGGAATCACCTCCAGTAACATCAGATGCCACTGTACAGGCAAATCCCGAGGGGACTGCCCCCGGACATCTATCAGCCCAGGCACCTGCTCTTCAAGGTAGTGAGAGTGACCATGTGACAGGAGGGATTGCAGCTAAATATGTTAAAGATGACCCTTCAGGACTACCGCCGCCTCCACCAGCACCAATAGCTGTTGCCCCTATTGCGGTTCAAAGAAGCCCACCAGCGACAGCGCCAGTACCAGCACCAGCACCCCCCGTGCAATACCCTGTGCAATATTCAACCCCTCCACCACCAGCACCAGCACCTCCCGTTCAGTATTCAAGTCCTCCACCACCTCCACCAGAACCAGCACGCGTGCACCCATCACCTCCGGCATCAGTTGTGGGGAGTGAGAAGAGTGGTGAGTCCGAGCAGGCCGCTCAAGAGCCCCCCAAATCCCCTACAACCAAGTTTGTTCATTTTACCTCTGACACAAAAGACCCAGACGCCACAGAGGATGGTAAGAAGAAGAAGCCAATTGGGTTTACTAGAGTCAAAGCTACCGCATTCGTTCGTCTTAAGAAGTCATCGACGACTCCCTCTGCACCCCCACCAAAAGAGGAAAAGAGGAAAATCATTTCTCCAGAAGGCTTTATTCGAAGGCGAAGAAGGAGCTCGCTCTTCTCGTCCTCGTCGTCCGAGAAGCTGAAGCCTAGCAAGGAAGAGAGATCCAGAAGCAGGAAAGGAAGCAATGATCCTAGTCCGCCTTCAAGTGATGCTGGGACAATCTATGTACCATCTGTTCCTTCATCGGTTATTTCTGATAGCGTCATCGTCGAGGAGACAGCGGCAGATGTTGCGCGATCGATTGTCAGCCAACCTGCCCCACTACCACCACCTCCACCACCTCCTCAACCGATAGAAGTAGCCCCTGCGCCTGTAGAAACACCGCCCGCCGCAGAAGAGCCTCCTATCGAAAGCGAACCAGCACCGGCAGCACCTCCTGCAGAAGCTCAAGAACCCGAACCCGAGGAGCCACCACAACCAGACGAACCCGCTCCGCCTGTTCCTGAAGCGCCATCATTAGTGTCGGTTGAATTTGTTGTCGCTGAAGTCGTTCCATCACTAGACGGGTCAACGATTGAAGCCACTGACAAAGACGAAAACCAGGCGCCAGAACCATCAGCAGAAGTCAGTGAATCGACCAGCGAAGAGGACCAGGTAGCTAGTGAGCCCGCTTCCGAGCCGGCACCGGAGCCAGCGCCGGAGCCAACACCGGAACCGGTGGTCGAGCCAGCACCGGAGCTAGTGGAAGAGCCCGCAGCAGCAGAGCCAGCCCCAGAGCCAGAGCCAGAACCAGCTGCAGAGCCAGTTGCAGAGCCAGTCCCAGAACCAGCCGCAGAACCAGTCGCGGAGCCAGACCAAGCTCCTGCGGTCGAGACTGCTACTACTGAGCCTGAAGCTGAGATCGCTGTCGAAGTACCATCTGAACCGCAAGAGGCCGCGGCCGAAGACACAAAGCCCGCCGAAGACGCTACCGCTGGTGATGAGGCAGACGCAACATCAGCAGCCCCTGAAGAGGCCGCTGCAGCAGTTGAAGAACAACCTGCTGCGGAAGAAAAGACTGTCACTGAAGAAGAGCCTTCATCAGAGGATGCACCTCCTGCGGTCGAAGAGAGCTCTGCCACTGAAGCGACGTCTGCCAACGAGGAAGCGCCGGCTGTTGAAGAAACTCCTGCTGCTACTGCAGAGGAGGCACCTGCAGAGGAACCAGCACCAGCTGTAGAGGAGTCACCAAGTGCGCCAGCAGATGCTGCTGCCCCAGAAGAGGCGCCAGCTCCAGAAGAGGCACCTGCTTCAGGAGAGGCACCTGCTGTTGATGAGACTCCCGTGACTGAGGAGGTTCCTGCTATTGAAGAAACCACTGCTCCTGTCGAGGCACCTGCAGAAGAGGAAACAGCACCCCAAGCTGTGACAGAAGAAGTACCTGCAGCTGAAGAGACACCTTCAAGTGAAGAAAATCCTGCCAGTGAAGCCCCTCCAGAAGACGCTCCCGTCACTGAAGAGGCTTCAGCTGTCGAAGTAGGCCCTGCCACCGAAGAGGCTCTAGTTACTAAAGAGGCTCCTATTGAAGCAGCCCCAGTTGTTGAAGGAGTTTCTGTTCAGGATGCATCGGCCGAAGCCGCTGCTGCTAATGCTGCTATCGCTGCCGCTGCCACTGCCGCCGCCGCTGCCGCCGCTACTGCCGCTACTGCTGCTACTGCCGCAGCTGCAGCTGTTACTGCTGCCGCCGCCGCTGTTACTACTGCTGCCGCCGCTAATGCTATTAAGGACGCCTCGGTCACTGAAGAAGCTCCAGTTGTCGAAGAGGCACCCGTTGTCGAAGAGGCAGCTGTCACGGAAGATGTAGCTGCTGTTGAAGAGACGCCCGTTGTTGAAGAAGCCACTGTTGCTGAAGTACCTGCTACTGCAGAGACTCCAGCCGCTGAGGAAGCTCCCGTTGAAGTAGCCCCCGCTGTTGACGTCCCTGTCACTGAAGAACCTCCTGCTGCCCCTGCTGCTGAAGAAGCACCCACTGTTGAAGTTACTGCTACCGAGGAGACCCCGGCTACCAAAGAGGCTCCAGCTATCGAGGAGGCCCCCGCTGATGAAGCTCCTGCCGCTGAGGAAGCTCCTGCTGTCGAAGTAGCTCCTGCTGCTGAGCAAGCTCCTGTCGAAGAGGCACCTACTATTGAAGAAGTTCCAGCTGTCGAAGAAGCTTCTGTTGAAGAAGTCCCCGCTGTCGAAACCCCTCCTGCTGAAGCTCCAGTTGTCGAAGATGCCCCTACTACCGAAGAGGCCCCAGCCACTGAAGAGGCCCCTGTCGCTAAGGAAGCACCTACCGTCGAAGAGGCTCCCGTTACTGAGGATGCTCCAGCCACCGAAGTTGTAGCCACCGAAGAAGCCACCGCTACTGAAGAAACTCCCATCACCGAAGAAGCCCTTGTTACTGAGGAAGCTTCAACCACCGAAGAAACTCCTGCTAATTCAAAGATTGCCACTGTTGAAGATGTCTCTGACGATGAAGGAGCTCCTGTTACGGAGAGGACTTCAGCCGCTGAAGAGGTTCCCGCCGCTAAAGCTCCAGTTGTAGAGGTTCCCGCCACTGAGGAAACTTCAGCCACCGAAGAGACTCTTGCTGTTGAAGAAGCGCCTGCGGTTGAAGAAGCGCCTGCGGTTGAAGAAGCGCCTGCGGTTGAGGAAGCCCCTACTGTTGAAGAAGCACCTGCTACGGAAGAAGCGCCTGCTATAGAAGAAGCGCCTGCTACAGAAGAAGCGCCTGTTACTGAAGCACCTGTTGTTCGGGAGGCTCCAACCGAGGACACTCCTGCTACCGAAGAAGTTCCTCCTGCCGAAGAAACCTTAGCTACAGAGGATAATTCGGCCATTAACGAGACTCCTATGCCTGGGGGCTTTCCTGAGGAGGCCCCCGCAACGGAGGAAGTTCTTGCTACCGAAAAGGCTGCTGTCCCTGAGGAAGCTCCTGTCACCGAGGAGGCTCTCGCTGCTGAAGAGGCTTCCACAGTAGAGGAGACAGGCCCTTCAACTGTGATTGAGGAAGCACCCGCCAAAGAAGCCTCCCCTGTTACTGAAGAGGCTTCGACTGTTGCGGAGGCCAAGGAAATCCCTGCCCCCAAGGCTTCGCCCATGACAGAAGAAGAAAAGACTAGTGTCGCAGATGCTACGGTAGAAAGCGAAAGTGAAGCTGCACCTGTAACCCAATGGTCAAGTGAGGAAAATGAAGCGGAAGTAAAGTTGCGGTCTGAAGAGGCGAGCACGGATGCAGTAGGTAAGCATGCGTCCTACACTTTGCGGAGAATTGCGTCACCAAATAGAATGCACATCATGTCCAGATGTTGATATATAGTAGTTGAATCTCAACCTTCCGAACCTCACGCTCCTCAAGACACTATCGATACGTCCTCGCCTGATGATGCCCCGACCGTCGAAGACACAAACGAAGACGCTGACGGCCACGATACCATAGCTGCAGCAGATGAAGATGACTCTATACCTGTTGAGGAAAGTTCAGACGACGATGATTCATCTGTCGATGATTGGATTGCCGATGGAGATGGCGGTGATTGGATAGCCGATGGAGATTCGGATGGTGAAGAATCTGACCAAGACATTTCCGACTGGGAAAAGGATGATGTCTCGTCGCAGTGTGATGCGATCGAGACGGATGCATCTGAACATCACGATGGCGATGGCCCTAGTACTGGGAGGAGCTCGATCGAGCCAAAGGGTGACGACATGGATAATGTAGAATCACAGCAGCCGGCGGGGACAGTGGACGTGTTTGCATTCCAGGAAGATAGCACGGGTTGCACGGACGAGGTCACAGAGTCTATTGTCGCCAAAGATGTGCCCGTTGTGGACAAGACGGTGCCAGAGGCAGAGGTCATGACACAAGAAGGGTCGACTGGCACACACCAAGCATATGTCACGGATGTTGATATTGAAGCAGAATCGGCAGAGGTTCCTGTCACGGAGGTAGATGCTGGGAGGGTTATTGGCGAGCAGGGCAAACAGGAAGAAGCAGTGGGCGGTGATGGGGCAGGCCATGGCGATGGCAACGGTGTCGAGGCAGAAGCAACACCAGAATGCAGTCCGGGCGGTGATGCTGTGGGCGCACTAGAGGTTACACCTGTTCTGGACCCTGGTGTCGGTGAGGGAACATCGGCACAAAGCAATATGCTTCCCGAGGCCAGCGAAGCGGCCGTGGAGTCGGGGAAGCCCGATGACGTGGGAGAGGCGAGGTTGAGAGAGACGATAGGTAAGTGAACGCCCTCTGTTTGCTTTTCACATATTTTATGTCGTGTGCATGTACCTCCTGTTGCTTGTCGCCGCTGGTGTCCGCCCTGCACGGCTCCGCGATAGCGCCCTGCATGCAGCGCATCGGGTTAGCGCGCTGTATGTGGGAAGCTGCCATTGGCCGCCCCAGAATTTTTGCTTGGTCCACACTGCCAACACACATTCTGTCCATGCCGTCTGGCTTATCGTCACGTGCCCAAAACCGTCCATCCAAAGTCGGGCTGCGATGCATACGCGCCATTCGCCGACAGTCACCATGCGTCGTTTTGCTTTGCGCTAGCCAGCCCGGCTGTTCTTTGCCTCCCGACATCCCCGTCACTCGACAAGCCCGTCCATCGTCTGCTTTTCACTCATCATCTTTCCTTCTCCAACCACCGCCGCCGGCAATCGTTTTGCTGCACGCACGACGCCCTCGCCGACACTCTCACTAACTCGACACAGTCGACACCGCTGCCAATCTTCTACCCATAGCCGAGGACACACTGGACGAGTCATGCGCAATCACCCCGGCTCACGCTACTAGTGAAGTGAGCCCAAATTCGGCCTCAGAAGAGGCTGGCGTTCAAGCACAAAGTGATCAACACGCTATCCAAGACGACCTCCCTAAGCACTCTCCTGACGAGCCACACGTTGCTGATTCCTCTCCGCAACACACCGACCAAGATGTTATAGCAGCAGATTCAGGAGTAGCAGAAAGCGAAACTAGCCCTGCTCCAGATATACCAGCCACTGAGATATCCGAAGCGGTAAGTAAAAATAATTTATGAAACATCATCTCACCCTCCTATGCTCTTCAGCATACGCACCTTGGCGAGTCCATGCTCATGAGTAACAGATCGCTACCAGCCAAGCTTCTCTAGAGGTGTCTGATCCCCCCGAAGTGGACATGAAGGCCAACGCAGTCCCAGCAGTCCCAGCACACCAAGAGAAGATAGCAGAAGAGCCAGAGTCCGACTCGGGAAGCGAACCTGAGTCTGAAGATGACGACTGGTCTGGGTCTGAAGTTTCATCCCTACCACCTGCCGACGATGTCTCGCAGGTTGATGATGACACACCCAGCTCTGAACCTGCACATGATGTGAACGACAAAGTCCAAGATGCCGCCCTGGAGCAAAAGGCTCCTGTAACGGCTGACAAGCCCGATGCACCATTAGAGGACCAAGCCCAGGATGACGATGACGTCGACGATGGTCCCGATGGCTCAGGCTCAGAGGTGTCAGCAGCGGCCGGGCCTGAAGAAAGCGAATCCGGGATCGCGGAAGACGTGAGCCAATCTGGAATCGAAGAAGACGGTTCGACCCATGAGCCACCCGCGGACCCTTTGCCAACTGAGGATCCCGACCCGCAAGGCTCTGAAGTTGGCCCAGAAAGTGTTGCCAAAAGCGTTGCCGATGGCCCTGCTGAAGGAGACTCCATTGTATCTTCAGAAGGCTCCGAAGGCGCTGAGGAAGAGCCTGCTGCGGATGCAACAGTGCCCGAGTCACAAAATGCGCCCGAGCCAAAAGATGTGCCTGAGCCGACACATGCGCCTGAACCGGCAGAAGAAGATGCCGAGGATGCCGCCGAAGAGGATGCTGAGGACGCCGAAGATGACGATTGGGATGGCTCCTCTTCAGCGAGTGAGTCTGGAAGTGAGGCTGAAGCTGACGAAGCCGAGGAGCAACCAGAGGCTGCGGCTGAAGCACCCGAGGATGACACTATCTCGACTGTAGATGCAGAGGTAGGAGCTGATGCCGCTGCATCTGAAGCGGAAGTCCAGGTGATTGAGCCGGCCGCGGATGTGGAATCTCATGCATCTGGTCCGGAAGAAGGCTCTGCAAGTGTTGCAGAGCTGGAGGAGGCTCAGGAACCCGACACTTCCGTACCAATCGCTGAAGAGGCTGCGACAGTCGACGCAACCGCCGATGCTGACGAGGCTCTCAAGGAGCAGGTGGATGACAGCCTGGTGGATGATAGCCTAGTGGAGAATAGCCTTGTGGAGAGTGAAGATGCTGATCCAGCTCCGGCTGATGCACCAGAGGAGGTTGAGACTGCACCACCAACTGAAGTCGGCACAGCAGAGCCGCCTTCAGACGGGTCAGATATAGCATCGGGAGAAAGTGAAGTATCGGTAGAGGAGGATGGCGAAGCAGAGGAAGTGCCCGCAGACGACACCCTAACCACGGAAGATGCTGACGCGGCGGAAGACGAACCCTCAGAGGTACTGTCTGAGCTGGCTGAGTCAGCTGTAGAAGAGAGTGTTGTCGAGGAACAAGCACCTCCTGCTGAAGACGCTACTCCACAGCCAGATGTTGAACCAGTTGCTGAACCAGTTGCTGAATCGGTTGTGGAATCGGTTGTGGAATCGGTTGTGGAATCAGTCGCGGAATCAGTCGCGGAATCAGTCGCAGAGCCAGTCGATGAGCCAGTCGATGAGCCAGTCGATGAGCCAGTCGATGAGCCAGTCGATGAGCCAGTCGATGAGCCAGTCGATGAGCCTGTCGCTGAATCGGTCGTTGAGCCTGTCGTTGAATCGGTCGTTGAACCAGTTGCTGAGCCAGTTGCTGAATCGGTCGCTGAATCGGTCGCGGAATCAGTAGCTGAACCAATCGCTGAACCAGTCGAAATTCCAGCAGAAGCCGAGCCTGAAGAAGAAGAGTCTCCCACAGTGTCCGAGGTAGAGGTCGAAGAAGAATCACAGTCAGAGGCTGCAACCGAGTCTGTACTTGCAGAGGATCCTGCTCCACCAGAGGAGCCAGAACCTGCACCGGCACCCGAGCCAGAAGCCGAGGAACCCGCGCCTATCGAAGCAGAGGCAGAACCAGAGGTAGAGCCAGAAGCGGTGCCAGAACCTGTGCCAGAACCAGAGGCTGAGCCAGACCCTGTGCCTGAGCCAGCTGTGGAGCCAGAACCCGAGCCAGCTGTGGAGCCTGAGCCTGAGCCACCGGCGGAGCCCGCATCTGAACCGCCAGCGGAGCCTGGGCCAGAACCACCAGCGGATCCCGAGCCTGAGTCCCCAGTGGAACTCGAACCCGAACCTCTAGTGGAGGTTATATCAGAGCCACCAATGGAGCCAGAACCCGAGCCACCAGTGGAGCCTGAGCCTGAACCACCGGTGGAGCCAGCACCCGAGCCGCCCGCAGAGCCAGAGCCAGAGCTGGAGCCCGAACCAGAGCCTGAACCACAGATTGACCCGGTTGTATTGGTAGGGGGGGTAGCCAATGAAGGAACCACGGAGAATATTGCCCCTGTAGACAGGTCCTTCGACTTCAGCCAAAGTCCCACTCGACCACCACCGCCTATTCCTGTTGATGATTACAGAGAGCGTGACATCGCAATTGACGATGAACTTTCAGCGGAGCCTCCTGTCCGCGAGAAGACACGTCGGAGGCACTCGCATGCTCATCGTGACGGCTACCATCACTCGAGTCGTAGGCGTGAAAGTGATGCTAGTTACAGGGAGCGCCCGATCATGGCTGTACCAGACCCTTCCAGTATGCCAAAGACCAAGCGTCGCGACAGCATGAACGAACGCGAAGCTGAGCGGAGAAGGGAAAGACTACGTGAGGCTGAGAGAACCAGTAGCAGTAGCGACAGAGAGAAAGCCTATCCAGAGTATCGGCCCCACCGCCGCGATAGTAGGAGCGACGAGAGACACCCTAAACGTCGCCCCGTTGAGGAGAAGGAAGATGAAGCCGAGAAACTCAGGCGACGTGAAGCTCGGAGGGCTGAAAAAGAACGACTTGCTGCTGCGGATGCTGCTCGGCTCAAAGCTGAAGAAGAAGCTAGAAAACTGGAGCATCGTGAACGACGCCGTGCAGCAAAGCGAGCAGAGGAAGAATACATCAGAGCTCAGGAGGAACGTCGAAGGCTTAAAGAAGAGAAAAGACAGGCCATTGAAGACGAGGAACGACGAATTCGACACGAAAAAAGACGACAAAGGCACGAAGCCGAGAAGGAAGCGAAACGTTTGGAGCTGGAGAAATTGGAACAGGCTGCACGTGATGACGAAGAGGCCAAGAGAGTTCGACGACAGAAGAGGGCGGAGCGGGAAGCAGCTAAACTAGCAGCAGCGCTTCAAGAAGATCTCATCGAGCCACCCCGCGACACTGCTCGACGTGCTGCAGAGGACTATGATGAGCAACTGCCACCCCCTCCTCTACCACCTGTCGTTGACGAGACGCCACGCAGTGCACCACCACGAAGACGACTGAGCATCCGAGACACTCCACCAAGTGGAAAGCGTGGTGGTATTTTTGGAGGTATCTTTGGTCGCTCGAAGACGGAAGCTGCTCCACCTGTACTAAAACCCACCCGGTCAACCCGCGCGCGTGCAAACACGTTAGATGGTCCCGTCAAAGTTCCAAGGAGAGAATTCGAGCCAGAGAGTTCTCCGAGCAGGGACATCTCATCCAACAATGAGAGCCGAGACCGAGGCGAACGCGCACATCGTAGTCGACGTTATTCACACCAGCGCCGCCAATTCGGATCACCTGAAGAAGAGGCCGAGTACTACAGGTGGAAAGAAGAACGGCGTTATATGCGCCGTCCAGAACACGAAGTGTCTGGTGGTAGGGAATTTGGAGTTACTTTTGCATCGCCAATTGTTGACCTTCCTCCGCCCCCACCTAAACCTTTTGAATACGACCTCGACGATGAGGCAATCGATGATGCGGAATCACCTATCATCGAGGATGCAGCTGCAGTGGTTGGCGTAGCCTCTTACTCGGACGAGGAACGACGCGAACGTCGTCGAAGTCGGCGCATGTCCAAGCCAGAAGAACGTCCCAAGGCACGCCGCATCTCCGTCACTGAGAAGGAGCGCCCTTCTGGTCGTCGCCCCGAGGCCGACCGGCCACGAACTCGCGACCGCGGAGATGACCGCCCACGTGTAAAGAGAGGCGAGAATGAGCGCCGTGACAGAAGAAAGAAGGAAGAGTCGAGCGGTCTCAAGGGACTGTTTGGAGGGCTCAAGAAGAGGATTGCTTAGTTCTCATTGATGAGACTGAGACGATAACGACGACACACTGACAAAGAATAAGATGAGAAAAATTCCTTTACGAATCTGGGTCAAAGGCGTTATTCGGTTGGGGGAGTTTACAGCATCTTGCTTTCTCTATTAGCGACCGAAAAGGAATAATCATTTACAAACAGGTGTTTGCTGTTTTTTTATCTTCATCGCAGGAGTCTAGGACGGGATGTTTGGCGTCCGGTGTGAGAGGAAGGCGGAACATATGTAATAGTACTTTGTACCGTTTCCTTTTTTTCCCCTTCTACTTCTTTCTTCTTTTCTTTTTCTTTTCTTCGTTTATATTTAGATCACCAGAGATGACTCGCAAGAGGACACAACATACAGTATAACTTTGTATTTAACGTTGAGAAGATGATGACGAAGGAAGAGAATATTCATGATAGGAATGCCAAATTATGTCGATTATGAAAAATTGTTTGGGGTCTTTGGGATTTGCTTGCTTGCTTGTGTGAAATGGATAAGTGAATGTATACTCTACGAGCAAAAAAAGCCATGAACTGTTTAAAAGGGAAGAGAAGAGCATACCGGCGTATCACTAAACTCATCCATATAAGAAAACCACGACATCTCCATTTACCACAAAGAAACCCGAAAAAAAAACCTCCAGCTCAACTCTCACCAAGCCCTCCCCGCATCCCTAGCAACCCACCTCCCCCTACTCTCCGGCCTCCCCACCCCATTCCCACCACTACTAACCCGCCTCACCCGTCCCTGAACAACTTCATACACCCCATCCGGCAAATCCGTCTCACGCTCCCTCTGCACCCTGCGCTCCTCACCCAGTAGCAAGCCCGGGTACGCTAGACCCTCCTCTGTCACTTCATCCACCTCGCGACGATCTGCACCGCGCTCGTACGACGAATCGGAGTCTGAAGCGTGGGATAGGAGGTCTGGGTTGATGATGCGGTTGAGGATATTGTTTGAGATGCTGATGTCGGAGGTGCGGGTTGAGCGTGAGATGTAATTTGGTTGGGACTGTGACTGGGAGTGGGAATGGGAATGGGAATGCGAGTGTGAGAGGGCGCTGTTGCTTGCGCGGCTGGTGCTCCGGCTTCGAGGTACTCTGGGGGCGGGGGCGGCATCTTCGTCGGGGTAGAAAGCGGTGGTGTGGGAGGGGAAGAGGAGGGAGGAGGAAGGACGAGCGTGGGAGGCGGTGCTTGTAGTGCTTGTTGTGCTGTTTCTTTTCTGGAGTTTTTTGCGGGAAGGGGGATGCTCGGGGTCGTTGGTGTGGGTTTTTGTCAGAGTGGAGGGGCTTGGGCTGTGGTAGGTGTAGGGGTGGGTGCTGGAGCCAGAGGACAATTGGCGGCCGCGGGGTGGGTTGGGGGTGAGTATGGCTTGAGGGTAGGGATGGTGGTGGTTGTGCATTTGTTTCTTTTCGTCGTATTGATGGGCAGTGCCACCTCGACTACTAGACTTTCCGCTGCTTGCGGTCTCGATCAGGCGTTTGTGCCAGGAGGTGCTTGCGTAGTTGAAGTTGAGACGTTTTTCTGGGTCTTGCTTTCCGAACCAAAGAGGTTCGTCTTTTGAGATCTTGACGGCATTGAGCCATGGGTTGCCTGGGGCGTCGTCTGCGAGTTGGAAAATAACATCGACTTCTTCAAGAGATCGGAATGCCGTTTCTGGGTAGAAAAAGTATACGAGAGGGATGATGGCAAAGTTTGTGACAGCAAAGATGATCCAAGTTCGATAAGAGATGCGCTGGAATGCGATTGGTGTGATGAAAACGACCCTATGATGATATTAGCCAAAGTGTAAACGAGTGGAAGCAATCGAGGAACATCATACACAAAGTTGAGCAGCCAGTTGGCACTTGTCGAGAGGCCGTTAGCCGGACCACGGATTCTCAAAGGAACAATCTCGACCTGGTACAGCCATGCCATACCCTGCCAGCCAATAGCAAAGAAGATTGAAAAGATGAACAGAAACACAGTGCTAGCGATTCTTGCTTCCTGCATCGCCTTCTCGGACCACAAGTATTGCAAGATGGTGATGAGAACCATGCAAGTCGACATACCCGTAGCTCCAAACATCATCAGAGAGCGACGGCCCCAGAAGCGATCGATTCCGACTACGACGATGAACGAGGCGAGGAAGTACAGAGTCGCTGAGCAGGATGCCAAGAGCCGGGCAAGCCATCCAGTGTATGACATGCGGGTAAGGAAGATCCAAGAAAGGTATTGCAAGACCAGGTTGATGCCTGTGCCTTGCTGGAACACTTGGACAAAGTAAGCCAATACAACGCGATGAAAGCCTCGCCGTTCTTTGTTAGAGAACATGCCCACACTTGAACCTTGTGCCATGAGCAGGATCGCATCCTTGATCTGCAGAAACTCGTCTTTGGTCTCGAAGCTATCTGGATCGTCGTCATTCAGGGCGGCCAATACGGTGAGTGCTTCTTGTTCGCGTCCAGTCAATATCAGCCAACGAGGGGACTCGGGCAACACAAATAGCATTGCGATAGCTGGTAGCGCAAACAAGATTTGTAGAGCGATTGGAACGCGCCATGATGCTGAAGAGCTGTCGATGTAGGCGAAACCGAAGACGAACCAGTATGACAATGCGATACCGGCAGATACGAAGGCGCCAGCGCTGATCATGAGGATTGTTCCTTTGCGATGGGACTTGACGCATTCTGCTTGGTATGCTGGTGCGGTGGCTGTGGTAAATCCATTGCCTACACAGAACGTTAGTACTCATTACCGGAAAGACAGTAAGGTTGCTGACCGAAACCAGCGACTGCGCGACCAACGATGAATTGCGCAAAGCTGTACGACGATGTCTGAATGATCTCGCCAATCACCCAGAATGTCAAACCCAGGATGAGTGTCCGTCGACGCCCAAGCAAGTCACCGACGAAAATGGTTGCAATGGCCGACACGATGCAGCCCAGATGCCATGTTCCGACCGTGAGGCCTACAAAAGTCAGCCTTGTAAGGTATCGCCACATGTACACTGAGATTTGATGTGGATATTCGGACTTAACATTTGAACGTACCAGTGACCCATGCATCGTGGAATGAAACATCGTTGACAATGTCAAGCTGCGGAAATCGACCAAGGAATTGCTCAACGGTCAACAGACCGCCCATCACACCCTGAGCATATCCGAAGCACCTGTATCACATTAATTGACGAACCATATGCGCAATGATCCAGGAACGGCATGTCGACGTACAAAAAGCAAAAACCACAAGTTACACTAATGGTAGTCGCTAGACTCTTACCCCGGAGTCCTAAGAATCGTGCCATTGTGTTTGAGGTCTTCCAAACAATGTCAATGGAGTCAAGGCGAAGACAATCCAGCGGGCTATCAAATGTATGGGACAACGAGCTGTGCCGCGTACGCTCGCCGGCACAGGCGTTGCGACGGAGTGCTTCTAGTATTTTCAAAGCCTTTGGAACCGGGTCATGTCGCCCAGCCGTCGCGGCTTCTGGCCATTAATAAAACGTCATATTTTGTAGAATGGCTGGAAGCGTTCCGTTCAGCTAATGCAGGCATCCCCAGTGGCCATTCGTTCATGACACTAACCGCCGAGGGGATCAGGCAGTGTTCCCGCGACCCGCTACATACACCCCAAACTATTCAGGAATGTAACACAAGTGTGGCTGTTGACAGAGAATCAGGTTTGAATCAACAAGAAGCCTCAAAGGAAGTGTACACACGGCTCATTGAAAGACGAGATATTATCCAGTTCGCGATGCCGTACTGGTGTTCGGCCAAGAATATTTCCTCTTACACTTACATACCGAGATCTCTCAGCTGGGCGTGCCTTCAGACCGTGAACCTAGCGCAAGTGTACCGTAGAAACCTTGTAGATGACAGATATTAGCGTAAAGCCTATCCAGCTATAGACTAGGAAGCGACCTAAGAACACGCCACAACCCGCCTAATCTTGCAGCTGTCAGGTACGCGAAGCCGAGTTGTATCCTTAGTGGTTGCTTCAGAATATCTGACAGATGCGATCTCGATGGCCAGCTGATGTCATGGACATGCTAGCGTCGATCAAGCGTCGAGATCGAGTGTTGGGGCAATGGGTTCTCGGAAATGCGTATCTTGACCATAGCTTCTGGACAGCAATAACGAAAGCTGAAAATGAACACGACGAGCATGCGTGAGTAAGTAAGACGTGTTCCAAGATAGACGTGGCTTGTTCTGCATCTCTGAAAAACAAATATACGCATGTGTACTAGAAAAAAAAGGCCGTGCTGTTGATAGGCTGGCAAGATGCACCGGACTCCGGCATGTTAATCGTCCCTTGTCCAGTATACAAGGTAGGTGCTGGACACAATCGTTGTCATATTAGGAGATCGGCCAGATTTCGGTCAAACATTCGGCAGCTGTAGTTATTGGCGGGAATCCATGATCGACTGGCTACGGATATCCCTGACTGCTGACATGCTTCGGGTCAAAAGAGAAAGTGCGTCTGCGTATGGGGACAGCTTCAGGGTGGGAATACATAGAGTGGGGTATCGATTCGCTACTTGGCCAAAAACTTCTGAAACGCTTCCTGGTCAATCACAACATTTCCTACAGCCCGGAGCTTCTTCCTGCCCTCTTTCTGCTTTTCAAGTAGTTTGCGCCGTCTGCTGAGGTCACTTGCATGCAGCTTGGCCAATACGTCCTTGCGATAAGGCTTGATAGTAGCTCTAGCCACAATCCTTCTCCCCGCGGCCGCCTGTATGATGACTTCAAACATCTGCCGCTCGACGTGTTCCTTGAACTTCTCCACCCATACGCGTCCTACCTTGTCGACTTGTGATGTGTGCAGGACACGCGAAACGGCATCAACTGGGGAGCCGTTGACAAGAAGATTGAGCTTCGTAATCGATGACTTACGGAATCCTGCATCTTCGTAGTCCAGTGATGCATAACCCTTGGTAGAGCCTTTTAGTTTGCCAAAGAAGTCATCTACCAGGTGCGACAAGGGAAGGTCGTACTTCAAGATGACTTGTGTAGC